ACACCGGGCTGTGCGACATCCGGCACGACGAGGTGACGAAGGGGTACGACTACTACGGTGACACGGCGAACGTGGCGGCGCGCACGGAGGGCGTGGGGAACGGCGGGCAGGTGCTGCTGACGCGTGCGGCGTACTTGGCGCTGAGCACAACCGAGCGGGAGCAGTTGGAGGTGACTGCGCTGGGCGCGGTGGCGCTGCGCGGGGTGCCGAGGCCGGTGGAGATGTACCAGCTGGACGCCGTCCCCGGGCGCACCTTCGCCCCGCTGCGGCTTGACCGTTTGATGCCGGAACTTGACGGCGACGGCGAGGATGCAACAGGCAGTGGCGATGCTTCTGCGTCCAGCTGCAGGAGCTGTTTCTCGCAGACCGCCTTCGCTGTGTTGGCTCTCTTGGGTCTGCAGTTCGGCATTTTTGCGGCCCCCCAGCGACTGCGGGTGCTGCGTCCTCTCTGCGAGCGTTGGAGAGTCGCTGTGCCGCACGCCGTTAGAGCGGGCATCGAGGAGGACGCCTGCCGCGTGGCGATGGAGCGGCTGGCGGTAAAAATAAGTCGCGTGATGGAGAAAAGTTCCTATCAAACTTCAGTTGAAAGCGAACCACGTAAAACAACTATGCCACTTATGTCTTCCCTTCACGGTGACGATGGGTTGTGCCCACAGAGCACCACCGATGATGGAGATGGTCGCCTCGGAGAGTTTCGGTCACGCAGCAGTTTGTGCCGGACATCTTCTTTTGCGACGGAGGAGGTGTGCTCGGGGGCGGAGGATTCGGCTAGCACCATTCGCATTCGTCCTCCCGTGTAGATGCGGGTTGCCTCGTGGGTGGGGCCGCGAGCGGCAACGGCGCGGGCGTCGGTGTGACGGTCCTCGTGCCTTCCCCCCGGCATTTAAGTAAATTGTTTTTTTTAGGAGGGCTTATCCTGCGCCGCTCCCTCTCAGTGCATTTATTTGTTTTTGTTTTTGTTTTTGTTGTAATTTTGTGGAAGGTGCAATGGCCGAGGGGGCGGAAGAAAAACGTGGACTTTTTTTTTCTTGTCTGTGTGTGTTGTTTGCCCCCCGCGCGCGTTAGCTGGTCCGCTTCGTGCGGGGGCGCGTTGGGGGCCGGCGGGGGCAGTTCTGCCACCCCGGCGCGCCGGGCCATCCCAAAACGCCTCGATGTACAACTTACTTCCCTTCTGCGTGTTGGAACTAAATCTCGTTAGGATTCGAGTGGTGATCGCAATGGACCGAGCAGTGTGTTTGTTTCGCGGTCTCCTTGGCCGCGCGCGGGGCGAGAACAGAAGGCCCCGCCACAACGGCGTATTTCTTGAGTGCGCGTTTTTCCTTGTGTGTTCTTTTTTTTTATGGCCTCTCCACTCGACCTGCGCGCCATGTGCGCTGGCCGGCGGGGGTGTGTCGCATGCTGCTTCTTTTTTGCCCTTCTTCTTTTGTGTGGTGGTGGGCGGCTGCCCGGCAAGGTGCGGTAAGTCATGTCTGTGCGCGCGGGCGGTTTGCGGCCGCGGCGTCCCGGTTGACCCCGCAACTGTCAGGCTTTCGGTCCTGAGCCCCCGCGGTTGGGCAACGGCTGCGCCGCGACGAGTCCTTTTTGTTGGCCCGGCGGCCGTCGGTTCCTGGCCGTGTTCGTGGGCTGTCAGGCGGCGTCCCTTCAGTGGCGGTCGCGCCGCGGCGGCGCCGGGAACCGCGCTCCCTTTGGCGTTACGTTGCTAAACTGCGTCGGCACAAGGCGCACGACGCTATCCTGGGGGAATGCCGGCAGAAACGAAGCCGCGGCGCATTTCCGCGTGCAAGGCGCGGGCCGGCGCTCCTTGGACTGGCGGGGCGCCGCGTGTCCGCGTCGTGGCGGCCTTGGCCGGCCCCAACCCCCACGCCCGGCGAGGGAGCAGCACGGGGCGTGGGCGGGGCCTGTCGCCGGCCGCCTCGGCGAAGGTCCGGGCCAACGACCACGCGCCGGCGGGCGACCGCGCCCCCCCAACCGCGGCCCCGCCACCGAGGTCGGTTTCTTCGTCCGGCGGGTGCGCCCCTGCCTGCCCGGCGAAAGAGCGCCCGGGGGAGCGA